ACGCTTCGCGATCGACTCGGCGAATTCTCAACTCTTTCCGGGCGAACAGTTCTGCGCGCGATCGAGCGACTACGCGTGCGTCTCAACCTCAGGATTTATCCCCTCCACAAGCGTACCAAAAATTTGGGATAAATCCTCTCGTCCCTGTGTTGGGTGAGAGGCGGAGGTCTTCGCCGAGGGAGTACGCGACCAGGACGCGGGCGCGCCAATTAACCGATACGGACGAGCTCGTGGAATGGGAGTGGTGTAGTTTAATGGATATGGCCGCTACCGTTTCGGGCGTCGGGAGTCCCGCCTGACTACAGTATTAAGATGTTAACCGATACGGTACATACGTGGCTAGCGCGTGTATAGGTGGCCACGAGCACACCCACGTGTAGCTAGTGGCACCAGCTACTGCAGGTGTGCACGTGGTGCGCGACCGATCAGTGGGTTAGGACAGTAGTTTACTTTTATTTATCGTAAGCTACAGTAAGCTGGATACAGTAAGTACAGCTGCAGTAGTCCGTCCGGGGCCACCGCCCTACTAGGGGGTATAAGATAGGGGCACCGGGCTGGAGGTAAACTGAGGCAAGCACGCCTCCCCTTACTTGCTACCCTAGTCCTTTTCCGGTACGGGTAGTAATCTCCGTCAAGTTTCTAGCTCGCCACCGGTCGTACTGCTCTACACCCCAGTATGACTGCGCGAGTCCAGTGTGGTGTACCTCCCTCGTCGAGTGCTTCCTACAGTGCCGGATTATTCCTACCTGACGCTCCAGTGTACAGGTCCCCCAGGCTCCCTTATTTTACGTACAGCCTGTCCTTTTTCCGATACAGTTTTAGCGTCGCTACGGTTGTACCACAAGTGGCACCCGTGGCCGGCTACGCGCAGTCGCTCCGTGGTGCGTAAACTGAGGAGACCAATAACAGGTTAGAAGCCAGCGCTGGAAAACCTACCGAACGGTCGTAGATTAGGCGCGAAAGGGACGGGGGCGAGCTTGCCCCAGTTTACTGTTGGGGACGGGTGTCAGATCTTAACCCCTCACAGGGACGCCCCGGACACTGGTCCCAGTACAGTACCTGCCGCGTAGTTCGTGCCAGGTACCGTACACAATTAAGAACTGCCGCCAGAAATACTAATTACCGCGCGGATGCTGCGACTACACGCGTGCGCTGCCGTACACGCATGATAGCTACCAACTACCGCACGGACCACACGTGTGCTACTGTACACGCATATTACACGTAGACTACCGCACGGACGACACGTGTGCTATTGCACACGTACGCCACGCCACGACCGATCGGCACGCGCGCGCGCTCCCTACACGTGGGCACCCCGCCCACGTGTGCACCGTGCACGGCCGCCCGGTTATTAACCTCGGCGCGCGCCCGTAGTTACTAATACATTGCTCAAGGAATTGGTCAGCTTCAAATCGGTCCTACTGCACGACAGACTGCTTAAATCCTCACGAAACCAATACTCCGTACGCTTCATGAGCGCCATCGCGCAGGTATGGGAGTTGCAAGCCACCAGTAATGGTAAGAAGGGGAGTTTATGAAGATACCAGTACAGGGGGGGTCGCGATATAGTGCCATCTTTGTTAGTGCCAGCTCTGATATAGTGCTACTCTTCTGCGAGTGGCACGAATTTTGAGCCAAAAACGAAGGGTCTCCAGAGAGGCAAGGCAGTTGGATGGACGTACTGCTCGAGAGGCGCTGCCGCCGTGGAAAGATATTATGCTGTTGCTAACTCGAATAGAGACTATGGCGGAAAAGGCAGGGTCGATGATGCAATTGGACACCTGCACAAGTGTAGGCTGGCATTTACGGCTGGGAAAAAGGTGGAAGTCAATGCGACGGCTCGGCAGTTACTAATAACAGAAATGCTTGATTAGACTTCACTCTGTAGTGATGATGCTAAGTAAAATATGAGTGATAGCGTCCTGCGAGCGGTCTTTCTGCGCAGTGATGAAAGGAAGTGGCTGCAAAAAGCCTTAAATTTCATTATCTTACAGCGCCTGGTTCGATATACTGCTGTTTTCGGCCCACTGACATTGGATAGCACTATATCGCGACCCCCCTGTATGGCGAACTGCTGGAGGGCATCCTGCATTAAGATTAGTACGGCTGCATCGACACGTAAGTTAGCCCTGTCCTCGAATGAGACCAAAATGGGTCTCACTGGATCTGTAAGCCCGTTTTGAGCACTCTCATTGGAAGAGAGCGCTCACAGCTACCACGCCCCACTCTCTAAAGATGTCACATTACACGCCCTCCGGGACTCTAAGTAGAGGAGAGCGCTCACAGCTACTCTGCCCAACTCCTGATGATTGAGAGTCTCTCAATCGCAGTCATATGGATCGCTCTCACAGTGCGTCTGTGAGCTCTCCGTTCTAGCGTTGTCGTTCTGTGTAGCCGGCATGCAAACTGTTCCTATAACATTGAACTGTTTATGTTCTACACAGCTCCCATCGAGGCTCGACATAGCGCTTCGCCCGCCGCCCCATTGCGCCCGCGACGGCCCGCTGCATCCTCGTCTTCCTCGCCATGCTCCCGCTCGTCGTCATCCTATTGCTGCTGCCGGGCGTGCACGCACCTGGGCCCCCATTGCACGATTCCGCCCCCCCCCCCCCACCGCGCCCTGAACCGTCGGCCCCGCCTCTTCCGTTGCCGTTCTCGCCGCCCGCCCGCCCGCCATCTCCGCCTTCGTGCTCTTCCACAACGAGTACGGTATATCCGGGTGGCAGAGTGTGCATGGAGATTCGCCATATGATGACGCCAACACCTGAAGGATGAGAATACCTGTAAGCTCCTCCACGGAAACAGATTTTCGTGGCCGCGATATGAGAACGCGGTTGAAATTTGATCTAACAATCTCAAGCACAGCGTTTGGGAGAAAGCATCTTAGGCAGTCCATTGTTGAGCCCACAGTATTTGATAACACAGTAGGAACTTCATTGTTTTCACGATTTGACTGGATTTGATCCTTCAGCTTCGACAAGACACAGATCCCCTCCTTAATGTAGCGTTCGTCAAAATTTTATCGACATTGTCCAACTCAACCACAACGTCAGTGAAAGGGGGTTGGTAGTTCCATTTATCCAATCCTACTGGTGTCCACCTCTCGTCATTATTATTAGGCATAAGCTCACTTCTTTGTTTCGACCTTTCCGGACAATTATCGCCTGGCACGGGTGACACACGCAACTCATAAGAGTTCTGCATTTCTTGTCTTTGTGCGTCTGAAAACAGCTCTACTGGATCACCGAACGCACGCCACCAGACGTCTTCGTCAATAACTTGGAGAGCTCCTGCATTGTCAGGAGAGAATTGAAATTGACTGCAATGGTGCAATGCCGTTATCTCAGAATTATTTACTACGTCCTGAGAAAGAATAGAATCATCTGCAAATTGGCTGTTCTCCGATTGAGTACAATCAGAACTCGCGAATAGCGACAATGAGAATAGATCATCACTAGATGACTCCAGATCAGACGAAAAATCAATCCTGCGCACAGTGCATCCCGGTTCGGCTGGTCCGCAGAAAACATTTGGGGCCTCCGACGCCGGATGTAATGTGATCGAGGGGTACTGCGGCGTGGTGATTGCGTCAACACCATCTACGTGAAAATGTCGGGTGTTGCGATCCTGTCTTCGCTGTTGACAGATAGTGAGGGTTTGATGGTGTAGTCATTGTCGACGTCGATAGGTCTCGTATTTGAGTTCATCGCAGTGAATAACGTCTCAGGACAGCAGGCGATCGTAGGTGAGTAGCTTGAAAGGGCACCCTTGCTCTCACGGTTGTTCGAATTCAATGGAACGCGATCCTTCCGATCGGGAGTATGCTGTTGCGTGTTTGAGTCCCACGTCCTTCTGTCTCCGCCATTACGAGACTAATGGTGAGCTCTGAGACCAGTTGAGTAATTGTTTCGAGATTTTAGTGGCATATTTCTCAATGACGGAGATATACTCTCAAGAGGGCTATCGGGATTCTCAAATCCTCTCTAAATATTTTCAATGTCTCAAATTTGGATTCTCAAATGCCCTCTAAATGTTACCAGTGTCTCTAATCAGAAAGGCAATTAAATTTTGGTCTCAAAGCGAGCACAAGGTTAGAGTAGATACGGCATAATCGGTCCCATAGTCGATGGCCCATGTCTGACATGCTATAGTACGATTTTCCTCAATTCAGCGGAATTGGCGTTGGTTACGTCATACAATCTGCGATGAACAGAGAAGGCATCTGCACATGCCCTGCAGTAGATACACTCGGTAAATGCGACCTTCGTGCGTAATGACTGACACAGTGCGCAAAGATTGAGTCGTTATCGAAAACGGCAGTTTGCTACATATAATAGGTCTCACACGCAGATCCTCGCCGCATGCAGCAAGATTTACTTCACGTGCAGAACAAGGATAAAATATGTATGTACTTGGTCTTTAAGAACTTTTTTGATAATCATTGGCCATCCATAGTCTTTTCGTAAAAACCATTATGATAAATTAAAATTTGGGCAACTGTGATCTGATATCGCAATTGTACCGTTGCACAACCCCTCGATCGTCTTTTCTAAAATTCCTCTGCGAGAGACAATCCTTGGCTAGGCGCCTCCTCCCCCTGCCCAGTTCCAGCCCCAGTTCCATCCCCCTCCGCATGCGCCACACACCCCTCCGCGCTACAAAGTCCCCATTCCGTTTATGTGTGATACTGACGAACTTTCATTTGCCCAAGTATCCTCTACGTGCTGAGGACGCCGCCGACCTTCACTGCCAGCGTCTCGCTGCTTCCATTCTCCCTTCTCCCGCGCGCCCTCTCTCTACACGGCCCGTTCGCGCACCTACCGCCCCTGCTGCCGTTCCCGCTGACGGTAGCGCCGACCGCGGTGGGCGCGCATTCCGGTCCCTCCCGCTCCCGCCCCGGCCGCCCCTCCGCCTGTAATTCCGCAGCGCGTCGGCGCGGGATCTATTCTCGCGGCACGCGCTGGCCTCCATCTCGAGCCTGTCGAAGGGGCTCTCCGATGCTGCGCCCGCTGGGGCACGGCGCCATATCGAGCGTGCGCCCGGTGCGCCGCCGCTCCGACGCCGCGCTCTTCCCGCTCAAGGCCTTGCACAAGGCCAACGTCCTCGCGTCGCCCAGCCGCGTCGCCCACCTGCTCGAGGAGGGCCGCGAACTGGCGCGCTTCGCGCGCGCCTGCACCGTCTTCGTCTCCGCGCTCGTCGACGCCTTCGAGACCCGCACGCATCTGTACCTCGTCACCCACGTCGCGCGCTACGGCGACCTGGCCGTTGTGCTCGCGCAACTGGAAGGAAATCGGCTGCCTGCGGACGCGACCCGGGAGGTGTTCGCCGAGATCGTGCTCGGGCTACAGGAGCTGCCCGGCATGGGCTACCTGTACCGCAACGTGATGCTGGACAACCTGCTACTTCGGCGTCAGGGAAAATCCAGCTAGTCGACTTGGGGCTGTTCAAGCGGCTGCTAGTGTCGCTGTGCTGCAGCGAGTGCTCCGTCTCCGGCGATGTGGCGCGGCTGTCCGTGCGGTCCGAGAACGGCGCCTCCGACGGCGCCCAGTCGCTGCTGTCGTGCTGCTCCAGCGACGACGGCGACTCGATCGTGCGGCTCCTTGCCCGCACGCACATCTTCGTCGGCACGCGCCGCTACTTCTCCCCCGAGCACCTGCCCGGGCGCCACCGCTCCAAGGGCGGCTACGGCGCGCCTGTGTACGTGTGGGCGTTAGGTGTCGTGCTGTACGTGCTCGCGACGGGAGAGTTCCCGCTCGGGAAGCGCGTGTCAAAGGGCAACTCCAAGGGCATGTTCGACGCGATCCGCCATGAGGAGACCCGGTACCCCACGCACATGGACGCCGGGATGAATGCGCTCCTGTAGGGCTTGTGGAAAGGGACGTCGCCAAGCGGCTGAAGATCGCCGGCATCAAGATGCAGGCCTGGTTTGCCGGCTTGGACTGAGAAGGCGTGTGCGCGCGGGCCGCCATGGGCACAACGCGGGAGAAAGTGGTGAGGCTCATGTAGGAGCAGGGCGTTGAGCACGCTTGCTGGAGGACTGTGGGTCGGCGCGGTATGTGGGGCGGTTCTGAACGGCGCCAGTGCAGCGGTACGCGGACTTTGAGGTCCGCGTCGCAACTGCGATCCAGGGGCAGGTGAAGTGTGAAAGTGCATGCGGCTCGGGCGACCACTATTTTGATCACGAGGGCATCGGGAAAAATTTCTCAGAGATGCAACGATACAGAGAAAAAGACGTTTTGCAGCGTAGCGTCCGGGTCGGACAACACGACGGGTGTTAGTCGGACTCGTCTATGTTATGGATGGATCTGAACTGCGTTTCAACTCTGCGACGACAATTCTCGCGATACCTCCTCTGCACCTGATGGCGTTTCTGAATCTGAGTAGTTGCGATATGATACCGTCGGTTCTTCCTTGTCTTTAAAAATCTAGAGTCCTCAGCACGTAGGGGATGCTTGTGCAAATGAAATTTCATCAGTCCCACACACAAACGGAATATACTGTCGTATCCAGCCTCGCTCCATTTCCGCTACGCCGCCATGACATTCCACAGTCCACAAAGCCGTCTAAAAAAGTTTCCGCTATAATTCTATCACTTGAGATGTGCCTGTCATTTGTCACCTCAGCTTGTGTTAGTGTTCCATTAATGGGCTTTTTCGTCGGATGGATAACACGACAGATCTCCTTCACCCCATAGTACCCCTTATCACACAGTACAGCCCAATAATTTGGGGACGCATCGGACAAAGGCCCGTCATCGTCCATATCAGTTTCACCTTCTCCTTTGCGAAGTTGTTTTGCATGAAAAGGGAGCATCGCCTCAAATATTTTTAAATCAGACACCGACCCGGGCTCGTGAGCGCTGCAGCCAATCGCGAGACCAATCGGAAGTACCGACACTTCAGTTTTGTACCCATATAATTTGTGCTTGCCATTAAAGTACAGTTTGCTTTCCTCCACGCTGTCACTAAGGCGAAAAGACTGCTGGAATGTCACATCTGTGGAATAGCGCGGAATAGGGTATTTTTTAAATCCAATCTTCTTGCTGCTCATGCGCTCCATTTTCCACTTCTTACTTTGATACTCCACATAGTGTTCAAACACTAGATACGAGAGAATATCTATAAATTTTGTAATCATACACCCGAACGTGGGACCTTTTAAACTGAACATCTTGGCCAAGAAGTCCCATTGTCCTCCGCGCACGGCAAGTGTCATAAAAAGGACATCCCGAGGAGTATGTGAACATTTCCGCCCCGCCCCTCATTGCACCTCTCCTTGATTGAGTTTTCCAGGGTGCACCAAGTCGCATAGAACTCTGTAGGGCTGAAATTTGTCATCTGAATGATAACGCTTGCTCCCCTATTTTCGTGAAGTTAATCATAAATTGGGGACCTGCTCTCCACCTCCTCATCCGTATCAATGGCGTCAGAGTCGGATGCAAAGTCCTGCAAGTCTGCACGACGCTCGACGGCGGCATCGGAGAGCAAGAGTAAAGCTCTTGCAGCTTGTGCAGAGGTTACAGATGCCATTTTCAGGCTCTGGTAAAAAGAGAAGGAGTGATGGAAGGGAGAAAGAGGGGCTTGGTGTGATTGCAGTTTGGCAGAGTGCTTTACGGGCGTGCGATGTTTACATCTTACCGGAAGACCAAGGAATATTGTAAAGGACCGCCCTTTTTTGAATTGGACCAATGATTTGTGAAAAACATTACAGCTCTGGTTATGGGGAAGTCAATCGAAAACAGATCACCTGGAACTGAAAAGACCATGTATTCTAGCAAATATTTCGAGAATACTGATGTACTTGATCAGTTCCAATTGCACAGTACTTTTACTGTAAGTATCAAATTCATATCCTGTGTGAGAGGTATTTGCATGAATGGTCTAATAGAATAAATTTGGAAATTATTCTGCATTTGTCATGAGAACATGTGTACCCATTGTTGACGTTTTGATTACAGTACTACAGTATGTATACCCAAATCCTAATCGAGGACAGAATAATGATGATCGCTGTCCCTGTCCGGAGCGTACAGCTCCAAATTAAGACGACGGCGACGCTTCGCACGATATTTCTCTTCTGCACGCTCTCTTTTCATTACAGTCTTCTCCCCAATTGCATACTGCCGATTTTTGACCTGATTATGACGGTCCAAATCAGAAGCACGCAGCGGATGCCATTTAAGGTGAAGATTTGTCAGACTGATACACATCCTAAAATCTTATCATAACTTTTCTCCGCCCACCTGTACATGCTGGATAAATTATTCCAATTTGTGCACAGTCTCCCGAAGAAATTCTCCACAATAATACGATATGAGGATATCTTCTTGTTTTGCGCCTCATTGCATAACGTCAAATGTCCGTTAACTGGTTTGCGCCTCGGTATGACAGATCTAAGAAATTCACTTCATCCCTCGTACCCTTTATCAGCCTGCAGCTAATATCATACTTTTCGCATAACATTCCCAAGCAGCAATGTCCAATTCTCCGTCCTTCTTTCTCAAAGCATCAATATGAAACTCCTCCATCTTTCCCATAATATCGATGTCCGCTACGGACTGGACCCCGGATAATGATCAGACCATCCAATCGCGAGACCGTTCGGTAAGACTGAAACTTCAACCTTATAGCCATATAATTTATGCTTCCCGCTGAAATACTTTTCCCTTCTTCCATCCTTCCACTTGGCCTGTACGATTGCTGAAAAGTGACATCCGTTGCATAGCGGCAAAATTTAAACGTCTTAAATGTTTTCTGCATATGAATCATTCTCTTCATCTTCCAAGACTCGCTCTGATTAAGCACCAAAGTATCATATAGTTCCTCATTAATGACGTCCATAAACTTCATCACAGTGCGCTCGAATGTAGCACAACGTATTCCGAGTAATCGGCCTAAATAATTCCATTGTCCCCCGTACTTGAGCGCAGTTGGCGCAAACAACAGCACATCTTTTACCGCTGAATTGCGATTTTCGTCCTCGCCATACGTACCAGGATTTACTGACATGATCTTATAGCAAAAGTTATAGTTTTCCCATCTCATTCACGACAAAATTGGTCATTTGAGTGATTGCCTCAGAACCTCCTGTGTCATAGAATTTGTCAAACACAGGAGTGTTGGAGGCACATTCGTCGTCTGAGTCTTCATTTGAAGGATCTATATCATACTCATCAATAACGGTCTGAATCTCAACAGCGGCATCCCCGAGCAGTCGCAAAGCATTGTTCGCATCGATATTTCCGCCACATCGCTTTGAAGGGGACGACGATGAGCGCCAGAGGGCTTAGCGGAGCGCTGAATATTCGGAGAGGAAAGGAACAAGGGAAGGCTAATTTGCGTGCTGTATTGGACGTTTGCACGATTGGTGTGCAATGTTTGTGGCAGTTCAGAAAGGACCGCATCTTAATAGTGTTTGTCATTGTCATGTGCAAAAGGGCGGGGTTCAGTAAAAAAATTGAAAATCTGTATTTCGACACTGATTATGATAATCGGTGCTGTTTTGGGCAATGGGTCAGGGCCTCTCTAAGGATTGCGTGGACGGGCATGTATGGACGTGTATGGACGTGTAATACAATAGAGATTTTAAAAAAGGTGCATAATGCATTGCGCCGCGGTGCTGTCAGATGATGCGATAAAGGGAGGAAAAGATAAAAACCCTATTGATGGGCGGGCTGAAGACAGGTTGCTGCACGGAATCGGTACAAGCTGGGGCACAGAACGCGGAGAGCTTGGTTCCAAGCTCCCTACTCCCTACAGTAATCGGCGAAGTCCTTCTGGAAGGACTTCGCCGATTACTGTAGGGAGCTCTTTTTCTAAGAGGTTTTGCAAATCTACCGTCTTTTTTCAAACTCTTTTGAATTCGAATGGATCAGAAATGGATAAAGGTCTGTTGGTGATAGCCAATAGGTTTCTTCTCTATTGCTTTGCCAAAGCTTACTCTGTAATTGTGACGTTAATTATTTTCGTCCATGTGCGTCCATATGAAGTATCAGATGTATTAAAAGCTGAACGTTACAACAATTTTGCAGGGCCGTTTCATCCTTAAATAAATAAAAAGACTCCGTGAGTTAATGTTCAGGTAGCAAACAATCTTGAAAACGTCAACCGCTTCGTCTATGGCCCACAACAAGCATGGACCAGGCTTCCCTTTCGGCTTCCCTTTCGCTTTTACAAAAAAGAACAATTTGCGAGCATGCCGAAAGATTGAAAAGAGAAGCATACATTAAAGACTCTGGTGCGATTTTAGGTGACCTAAGAAAATCCCAGGGTGCGTTTCGCGGCATCATCGGGGAGGACACCGCAGTTCTAAATGGTGTATTTTTGATATCGTGTGGGAATTTTCCGATACGTCTCCAAAGAGAGGCTCAGCATTGACCATGCACTGTCCCAGCGCCCCCTTCACTGTCGTTCACATCAACGTCCTATGCACCATGTCAATCCTCAACATTGACAACCACCGAATTCACGTTCGCTCATTTAACTGGTGCTCTTTATCTAGGTTGCATACCCGCGCATAGCGATGTCCCCACTCAGTGTGATATCTCCGGGGCGAGCAGGATGAGCATCTCCATATCACTGCTCCGTCTTTATCGTAGTGGCTATCCTCCAACTCGTTGCTATTGTGATACTACAACAACGTTGGAAATCTTTATAATGCCCACACGCTGTTACGAAATGTACGGGGTATCATTTTCATCCTTAATTCTAGCTTCTCGTAGAAATGCACCTCAATCGGGTTGACCTGCTCGCCCCCATTCTCGAACTTCTGCCCAGTACTTTTCTCACCAAACACTCTCTAAGATACAAAATCATCACAAAGAAATAATTCAAAACAACACAGAATAAAGTCAAAACGACACGA